TAGTTAACCCTTTTGTGTGTGTGTGTGTGTGTGTGTGTGTGTGTGTGTGTATGTGGTGAGATCGCTTAAGCTCTATTCTCAGGAATTTAAGTATTTTTTTTAACTCTACCATTTTTATTAGCTATATCCACCATGCTGTACATTAGATTCTCAGAACTTACTCCTCCTATAACTGAAAATTTGTACCCTTTGATCTACATCACCCTCTATTTCCCCTTCCCCTAGCCTTTGGCAACCACCATTCTACTGTTTCCATGAAATCGGAAAATCATTTTTCTCTTAAACCAAAAGCTGAAGCACATCTGATGGTGAAAATACCAGAAGTGTTCTCATTACAGTAAGTGAGGAAAAAAAAGATCTTTATACTCACCCATGCTGCTTGGATCATTAATGACTTTTACAAGAAAAAATGGTTATGAAAATCATGTACCAGCTTTGAAAAATATTTCTAGTGTCATGTTAAATGGAAAAGGAACACACCACATTGTACCTACCTTCCTTGTGACTGAAAGCACACGTGATGTGGAAACAAAATGAATGAGAGGTACTGGTAGTAGAGAGGAGGCTGCTTTTTTTGTTTGTTTGTTTGCTTTATTGGTGTTACTGTTTGTGTGATATATAAAAAATGCAACTAAAAAAATGGAAAGTGAGGGCAACCAGGAAGAAAGAGATCGGGCTGCTAGTGAGTAGCTCTTCTTGCCTGTGGCCACAACCTCCTTTTATTTATTTATTTATTTATTTATTTTTTTTGGTAGGGGGAGGTAATTAGGTTTACTTACTTATTTATTCTTTGAGGAAGTATTGGGAATTGAACCCAGGACCTCATGCATGCTAAGTATGAGCTATATACCCTCCCCCACAACCTTCTTTCTTAAAGGCATCTGAACACTCACAGCAGAATCCTTTCAGTTGATCAGGAAGCTAGGAAAGTTAGGGTTCCTTCTCTGTGCTTACTTAGCACACTAAGATTGCCACAGCCAGATTAATAAATAAAATATTTATGGCTCTAATAAGGAGACATTGAGGGCCACTTGGGAAACTTCGGAAGGAGCAATTGGTGAAGAACTAGGAATATACTGCGAGGGCTGAATTTTCAACATGGGTCAGCATAAGGTTAGGCAAAAACAGTACAGTATATTTGTCTACTGCCAAGAATTAAGAAAACAGAGAAAGATACCAAGAAAATATAAAATATTTCAGTATAAAATATAAAGATCCATGTAATTGAGCACTGTAACATGATACGTTGGGAGTGTGTCTGGTCCTTTGCAGAAGACAGTTTGCCAGTAGATTTCAGAAGAATGGTGGCTGTCAACACAGTAGTTGCCCTTTAGGTGATTTTTCTACAGAAATTGGCAGGATGATATACAAAGATTATATTTAAGGATATTCATCACAGCTTCATTTTTGCTTTGGGGAGGGGGTAACTAGGTTTCTTTACGTATTTTTAAATTAATTATTTTATTTTTTTATTTTTTAGTCGAGGTCCTGGGGACTGAAACCAGGACCTCATGCATGCTGAGCACTCACTCTACTGCTGAGCTAGACCCTCCCCCTCACAGCTTCATTTTTAATACCAAAAAATGGATGCAATCTAAATACACAAATTCACAACAAGACATACTTTACAGCTGATAAAAATCATGCTTTAGAAGAATGCTTAACTGGCATAGAAAATACTTAATGGCAATGGAAAACAGGTTCCTAAGTAGTATATACTGTATGATTCACATGTTATGATTATTCATGCTTAGAAAAATAACTGCAGAAATATTCTGAAGTGTTAAAAATGATTTGGGGATGAGTGTTGAGGTTACACGTGATTTTCTCTTTCCAGACTTCTCTTCATTTTCCAAATTTTCTTAAATGTACATGTATACTTTTACAGTTTAAAAAAAAGAGTTTAAAAGTTATTCATCATCCCAGTGCCTAGAGATAAGCACTGATAGTATCTTAATGTAGTTTCGTCAAGCCTTTTTTTTTGGTGCATTTGTAAGTACTTTCTATTTTTATATATATATATTAGAATGATACTGCATTACAATTTGGTATTTCCACCCGTGTCCTCATCAACCACCTTCCCCCACCCTCAGAAAAAAACTTAGATACACTCGACCAACGCCAGCCTAGAAATAACTTGCAGAGTTACCATAAATAGTGATTAATCAGATGGAGACTGTGTATGCTTTGAAAATACAATGATTAACTATAGCAACTGATAGTTCATTTAGAATTCTAGTTTTGTTCTTGTTTTGTATTTAAGTATAATTTCACATCAGATGGTGGTTGAATTAGGTGACCTATGTGATCCTGAGGTTCTGAGGCCAAAGGAACAGTGTGTTCAACTCCCTCTCTGTGACCGACCCCTTTTGGGAACCTGGCTGCTCAGACCACAAGCCAGTCACCACGCTGTGCTCTAACATCAAGCCAACTGTTGAGGAGGTCAAGGTCCCTCAGGAGCTAACCTTATAGACTTAAACCATCAAGTGACATACATGTCTATAAATATTTAAAACGTCTAGATCAGCTAAAAATATGACTATTTTCTTAATCTGTAGAAAATATGTAAAAGGATCAGATCAAAAACCATTTAAGGTGGAGGGGGCCCAGCTGTAAGGGCCTCTCTGCTCACAGCGGGAGGTTGTTGTTGGAATTATTTATCACCTGGTCTCCTCTGTTAATGCTGACTTTAAACAGAAAGAAAATGCCTGATTGGGAAGTGTGCCCTGGTACCCTTAAAGGATATTTTCAGTTTTGGGAAAGGGAGATTAGAGAAGGCTTTTCTAGTTGGCCAGCACCTGCTATCTTAAACATAATCTTTATACATACATATATATGTATATGTGTATATACACACATACACACAAAATACCTTTTTAAAAGCTAAAAGGAATAAAGCTCAGAAATACTATGCCCGGGTAGGTCAACAGCAACAAAGTGTATTTCTTCCCATTGCCTTTGACTTACAGTTATTTGATTTCATGTAAAAATTGTTTTTTTAACTTTCTGTAGGTTTCAGCTAAATTATGGAATCATATGCAGCAGTAATCTCAAGGGACCTAAGACAAAAAGAAAACACTCTCTTCTTCCTACAGAAACAAGGTGTTTCCAGAAAACACTTCATTGCTTTCATGTTGACATAACCTTATCAAGTCACTTTTTCCTCACTGCTGTTTGGAACCAATGAAAAATTTCTTCTCATAGGGAAAGGTTCCTCTTTAGCATAGAAGGAAAATGGACATTGCTTATGTAAATCTGAGATTTAAGGTTGACTCTGAGAAAAGAATACTCAGCTCTGTCCTGCTTCCTATTAATGTCTTTGTCAAAAAAAAAATTTTTTCTTTAATGAAACTCCTAGGTGTTTACTAACAACAGGGCTCATATGTATACTTAGTATAACCCTTAGTAAACTCAAGGGATGAGTCGCTTTTCACTTTCCAGTCTTCTCATCTGTTTGGCTTTCAACTTCTTCAGTAGAGTTTCATAGTTATTTTCCCATTAATGTCACACAGGCAATCTGCCTTTTCTTGTCTCCTCCCTTCATTGTTTTCTCCTTTCCCATCGACTAGTAATTGTAACCTCCGCCACAGCCTTTCAACAGTAAGGGATGGAAAATAAGCATCTTGCTCCCAAGATTATCAGAAGCACCCAGTCGCACAGATCTTTAACTGATTTAAGCAAACGGAAAGCCCAGCGCCACCGGGCCGCCGCTGCTCGGCCAGTGTCACGTCTTACCCTCCACCTCTCCCGGCAGTCTTCGTTCTTAAAGCATCGTAGGGGTATCTGCTACTCTACCGTGTAAAGTTAAGACCTTTATTTGTAGTTCTGTCTCACATATGTATTCTATTTGTGTTTTGTGTTTTCTTTTTCAGCCTCATTGACTGTGATTTCAGTAAAAGCCGTCTCAGGCATGATCACTTTTTCTGTGACGGATAAAACGCAACTAACTTATCCCATCTTCTATATCATGTTTATCATCATGATCGCATCTTGTGTTTTCCAAGTCAAGTAAGTTAGCTCCTACGTACTCCCTACTCTTTCAACATTCCCGTGCTTCCCTGAGCATTCATCTTTCTTGGCTTCAGATGACAATTAGAATTAGATGCAACTGATTTCTAAGGGTGAGGGGTCTACAGCTTATCCTCAGCCCATATGCCTCCGCTTTATCCTTCACATCCAATAATAAGTTTTCGCTAATCATTGCCTTCACGTTTTGTGAGTTCTGAAGTGTGGCCATAATCCAGCCAAGCGCACTTTGATACTTTCCTGATGCTCTTCTGCTTGTAATTAATATCCATCGTACACAGGTTGTCATTAGCAGTAAATCACAGGGGCAGGTCCACATCCAGGATTTCATTCTAAATATAGGAAATACATGAACCCTTCACCTTCATTTCTTAGCTCATGCTCATTAATTGCCCAGAGATGGACAAAACCGGACGTTTGGCCGGGAGGGAAATCCTTTCCCCAAAACTTTGCATCTTTCGCCAGAATTTTCTATGTCCCCATGGGATTGCAAAATGATTGTTTTATGTTTCTCTTGGGGCCTAACAGTGGTGACATGGACCACTTTTAATTTCTCTTTTTCTCTCCCCTCCTCCCATCTGCTCCAGTCACTTCCCGTCCATTTCACATTATGGTTTTGCCTTTGCCTGTTAGGTTCTCCGGAGTCCACAGAGTTTTCCGTTTACCCCTAAATACTGTGCCAAAAGCACCATCCCAGTGCCAGCCAGGAAACCAGAGCCCAAACTCTGGAAGAGAGTGGTTCCTTCCTTAGATGCTGGAAGTAAAGTCTAATTGTTATGGGTTGAATATGGACCCTGTTACAAGGAGTGTGTTGCTGGAGAAACCCAATGTTCTGTCACTGTTTCATTTGTTGTAAACAAACTTTCATTTGTTCATAAGACCACTTGTGTTTCTAATACTTGAATCTTACTGTTTCATCTCTCTCTCTCTCCTTCTGAATTAATCAGTACTGCTATAAGATTTTTTGGAATTTAGTGATTAGCATCATTATTTTTAAACAATGCTTCATGAATTTAAAAGCCAGATACAGTTGAAGGCAAACCGCATTTCCATCACCCTTGTTTCAGTCCTTGAATCTGTCAGAATGATGTGAAGACACCAGAACTGTGGAATGGTAGTTCTCAGCCCCGTCTGCCCATTACACTTACATGACCTGAGGATGTTTGTACATATATGTATACATGCACATATATACTAGCACACAAGTCCACATGCGTATGTGTTTGTATACACACAGCCACACGTGTGCCACACACACACAGGCGAACCTGGGCTCTATACACAGATTTTTTTCCCCCAATTATTCTGGAATAGGACCTAAGCAATAGTGCTTTTGTAAGTGCCCAGGTGATGTCAGCGCAATGCACTGCTTCAGGAGAGGTCTGGTCCCTGACAGGGCAGCACAGCGCCGCTGTGGGAACCTGAGCCAGGCTGGCGGCCGGAGTGGGAAGCTGAGCTCCCACATGTGCTCTGCAGCTGGAGTGCTGAGCATTGTTTTTGAAACATTAAACATTCCTCTACTTCTCCATCTTCTTTCTTGGCACGTGGCATGTCGGTGGATAGCTATACCATTCCCCAGATATGATATTTAACAGATTCTAGAGTCTATCCTCATGAATCAGCCCCAGTGTGATACTGGTCCAGCAGCTTGAATCGCTTCCAACTCAAACTTCTGTGGCCTCGGAATATGATTAATTGCTTTTCATTGTTACTGTTGTTGGTTTAAACAGACCGTAAAACCTGACATCTGATCTCATACATCAGATGCATATAAGCTATGACTGCTGATTGGAAATGCCCTTTTACTGCACTTCCTTTCCCTTTGTAGTTGTAGCTAAAGAACATGCATTTCTTGATGTT